ATTACTACGGTTTATGTAATATGCAGTAAGAAAGGGTGGATTCAAGTCTCCCTATTTGAGTGTTCACCCGGTTTAAAATCGTGGATCTCGGGGAACACACGAATTCATTCGACCAATCAAAAACGTGGAACTAGTTCGAGAGTCTCGTTCAGGTGGCGCGTCGACACGCCAAAACACAGCTCCAGATTATCACGCGTAGTATTACTATATATACACGACCAATCAAAAACGTGGAACTGCTTCGAGGGCCCTCCGCTAAGGTGGCGCGCCGAAACCAGAGAAAAATTGCCTTCACCAAAAACAGGCTCATTGGCAATCTCCCTACTCATCTCTGTATGTAGTGTTTGCTTCTTAAGCATTTCAATTTACCACGCGTAGTGACGTCACCCTGCCCACTCGCTTCTGATTGGTGAGACCACTTTTTATGCGCATGGTCTCACCTTACTTCTTTACACCATGGCTGTCACCCACTTTGATGGAGCCACTGATACACATTACCAACGAATTCAGACGTACATAGAAGTGTATTTCTTATGGCCCTCTTGAAGCTCGATTTTGTTGGGGATAAGGGTTAGTTCCTATCCCCAATGGGTAGAGGCGCTGGCAGCACCGCTGGCTCTGTGTGGTACATCAATATATCACCGACGCGCTTACACTACTCTAGATACCAGAAAAAGAACAGGCTCAGCCTTTTATTCTATCCTATCTCTCGTTCTCCTACAGCTCTAATGCCTTGGGGATATGATGTGGTCTCACTCTTGCGCTCCACCTCCTCTAATTCGTGGTGGTGATTTCACTCTCGCTCCGTCTCTCGTACTCTCGTACTCTTAATACAGTGGGGATATGATGCGATTTCACTCTCGCTCCGTCTTTCATACTCTCGTACTCTTAATACAGTGGGGATATGATGCGAGTTCACTCTCGCTCCGTCTCTCGTACTCTCGTACTCTTAATACACTGGGGATATGATGCGATTTCATTCTTGCTCCGTCTCTCGTACTCTCGTACTCTTAATAGAGTGGGGATATGATGCTGTCGTCGCGCCATCGAGTGGATATTTGAGTCGGAGAATACTTGTCTTCAAGCTAAGCATAGGAAATACACTTCTATGTACGTCTGAATTCGTTGACATTACCGAGGTTTAGCCCGTTAAACGCCCAAATTTGGCCGGTTATATTTAACCGATGACTCCTCGGCTTAACCGTGGTTTAAGAAGTTGTGGAACGCGCGTTTTTCATTAAACCCGGTTTACCGATCTAAACTTGAGTTGTGGAACCGGGGGCCTTACTTATCTATATAAATAAACGCATACACATTTTTTTTAATATTTATATATTGACAGATAATGACAGGTGACAGGTAATGACATTTCACGTATGAAAATATTGGCGGTGCAATTGTTTTTTTCACGTAAACCGTTACGAATTACGAAACGGGGCATGCTCGATGTTACTGAAGTCCATTCTACAATGCAATATAGTAAGAAATAAGGAATAAGAAATAAGCAGTGTTGTGCAAGATTAAAAAATAGATAATCTAGTGCAGATCAAGATTTTGATCCACAAAATGTATCAAGATCAGATACAGATGATATTATCATTTTTTAATCTAGATTTAAGATTACGCAATTGGTCATCGAGATCATAGATCAAACCAAGGATTAAAAAATTAAGATATAGGAAGCTTTCACAGCTTTAGGTCTGTTCTTTATAGCGTCTTTTGTACTCCGGAGAAAGTATCAACTGTGCACGAGCCTTAATCGAGACACAACAGTCTGTGGTTTCCGATTACTCACTTGTGTAGACTTATGTCAACGCAAGCGATATCATTGGTTGTTTCCCAAATACTCCGTTGGAGCCAGCGAATAGCGAGACTTCGTGTCAATAAAAGTCGGCACAAATTGAATAATTGGCATGCACCTAATGCTGTGGGGAGTTGTCTAGTTATTAAGGTTATTTTATAATGGGACGTTGTCGGCAGACGTTTGTCGAAAGTCATTTCTATTAGGGACGTTCTACAATGGGACGTTGTCGGTAGACGTTTGTCGCAAGTCGCTTCTACAAGCTAACCATAGCACCCAAAAAAGTGGGAAAATCATTTTGATTGGTATATAGAAATGACTTACGACAAATGTCTACCGACAACGTCCCATTGTAGAA